TGTTTGGGAGTGTGGAGGGACGGCGCAGGAGAGGAAGACCCTCGATGAGTGGAGTGGTGGGAATGAGTGTGTTTGAGACGGTGACGTTGGCACAGGATAGAACGGCGTTTGGGACTCTTGTACATAGGGTCACTATGAGTCACAAGTGACTTGATGTCACATAACAACAACCACCTCCTCTATTGTGAGTGAATGCATTCCTACTTATTAAAGCCATTCACTTGTAGTATTTTCCCTTATAGATGCACGACATAAATAAGACACCTGTAGTTTGTCTGATGCTTACTTTTGAGTGTCACAGGGAAATTAAAAAATCATCAGAATGAATATACCCTGAGACTTGAGGTTTTCCGTTCCTTTCTAGATATTTTCACAGACTCTTCACCATATCTCTAATGGGTTATGCTTCTCCCAATGTTTATACACTGAGATTAATGTGTCTTCTTTTTCTCACAGGAGAAGCTAACCTTCCTTCATACCTTGTATCAACATTTGGTAGCAGGCTGTGTGCTCATAAAACAACCAGAAGGCATGCTGGATAAATTCTCCTGGTCTGAGCTTTGCGCAGTCTTGCAGGAGAATGTTGATGCCCTGATTGCAGACCTCAACAGGGCTAATGAGAAGGTAACTGTCCTCAGGCACCAGATACCTCTATTAAATTCAGTGACATTTGTCCACATCACAGTATCATTAAGAGGGGCTGACATTCATCTTATTTCAAAAAGAATTTGGATGTTAATAATTCAATACCATTAATTATGGCTTGTCTACAACTCAGTTTGATGCCATTGCTGTGGGCATGTAAATGTGACTGAAGTCTGTATGAAGTCTCCAAGCTCCACTTTCTGTGCAGGACATGCTAATACTACTAGCCAGTATTAGCCACAGGGACCTAATTAAAAGAAAATAAATTAATCTTACTGATGAAGCAATTCAAAGAACTTAGTCATTTACATTAATAAACCAACTCTTTATCTTAGCATAAAATAGAAACACGACACAGTTACTACAAAAACATGATCTTAAAATTCTTTGGGAAATACGAGGTGTTATTTTTAAAAGGACTTAAAAATTTAAAATTAAGTTTATGTCTTAGGGTTTCTGAAATGTAACTAACTATATGTTACAAAGCTGATACCATATTTTCTAATGTAAGAAATGTATGTTTTGGAGAAAACAGTAGACTTTTAATGGTGACCCTATAAGCCTAGGAATTGAGATTGGGTATCTCCAGCCCTCTCCTCCCCCAAATTTAAAATCCTTGCATTCGATTATAGAATATTAAATTAACGTAGAAGGTTAACATAACATATACTGTCATCAGAGATAGGGATTCTTTTCTTTTCTGGTTTCCAGGTGGTGGCTAATGTTGGTATTTACTCTTAATGGACAAAAGGAGAAAAATGATTTGCAAGTGTTTTAATCTGTTTGAAGTAATGAAACAACCTTTTGGTCCATTTTCAGGTTGAGATTTTGTGTTACTAAGCATTTTGCCTTGATTCTGCTGGTAAGTACAGCAGAGGCACTGAGCAGTAGGCTTGAGGGAATGAGGCATAAATAGTGAGAAGCACAGATGCTGTTCACGACTGTGAATGTATGTGTAATGGGCGTAGTGTGTCTGCGTGTAATACGTACATTGCTTATGGTTGAAAATTACTGGTAATTAACATGCGTGTGTGGATTTAACCCTCTGAGATCATGTTACATAATAAGTAGATTTTTATAGTTTCAAAACCGGGCATCTCATATGTTAGAAAATGAGGATATTATTCCTAGTGTTTTGAATGTAAAATAAAAGTGCCTGGAACATTCTGTTTTGTTAAAGGTGCAACGTGTACAGATTTGCTGTCCTCAGTAAAAGAATTACTTTTCCATTGAGGTAACCAAATAACTTGAGCTTTGTATCCAGAAATAAGAATATTCTTTTTAATCTTCTCAACAAATTTATTGTGAAATTAGTACTTTGGTTAGAAAATAAACAATAGAAAATTATTGTCAAAGTATATCAGTGACATTCTTTGCGAAAATAGAATTTTCCTGCTAATTTTTGTCCGTCGGTTTCTTTATTTATATCAAAACTTAAATTTTTTATGTGACTTTGAGGAGTAAAATCTAGTAGAATCCTTCTCCCCCTTTCTTTTGGAGGTGATGCAAAGAACTGTTTTTGGAGCAGATCTCGCACTGTGTTGCTTTCTCTCCTCCAGATAAGCCACCTTGAGTATATCTGTAAAAACAAGTCTGACACGATGAGGGAGCTCCAGCAGACCCAGGAAGACACCTTTAACAAAGTGGCAGAGCAGATCAAAGCCCAGGAGAGCTGCTGGCACAAACAGAAGAAGGAGCTGGAGCTGCAGTACTCTGAACTCCTCTTGGAGGTGCAGAAGCGAGCGCAGGTGTGTGACTTCTTTTTCTTCTTCTTCTTTTTTTATTTTTAAAAATTTTCTTATTTTTTTATTTTTAAAAATTTTTTTATTATTTTTTATTTTCTTTTTTTTATCATTAATTTCAATGGAAATTTACAGAGACTTTGGAGTTCCATTCATTCATTGTTGCCCTTTTCTCCTCTCCCAACCTTCCCCTCTAGTATACTACCCTCTTGGAAAAGTAAAAGAAAAATTATTTCATTGTTTTACAGTCCTTCCCCTAAGGTCCACTCCATTATACAGCCTTCTCTCTGGACTCCTGTCATGACAAAAATCCCCAATATTTTTCTCTCTTAAACAGTTTTCTCCTTCATCTGTTTCAATGAAGTATACAGTATTGAACCCATCCTTCTCAGTCTCCTCCTAACCCCGAGGTCAGTCCTGTTTTACAACAGTGGCAGCACGCAGTATTTGTCCTTTTGTGACTGAGATATTTCACTCAGCATGATGTCCTCCAGGGTCGCCCATTTTGAATAATATTGCATGAGTTCCTTGTTTTTCAATGCAGCATAGTATTCCATTGTGTTAATATACCACAGCTTCTCTATCCATTCGTTTGTTGATGGGCATTTAGGTTGTTTCCAAGTCCTTGCTGTTGTGAACAAAGCTGCAATAAACATGAGTCTGCATATATCTGCTTGGATGTCAGTTATGGTCTCTTTGGGGTATATTCCCAGTAGTGAAATTGCTGGGTCGAATGGTAACTCTATTTGCAACTTTTTGAGAAAGTGCCATACCGCCTTGCACAATGGTTGCACCATTTTACACTTCCACCCACAGTGAATAAGGGTTCCAGTTTCTCCACAACTTCGCCAGCATTTGAAGTGTATAACTTCTACAGAGAGATGACAACACTCAGTTACTTAGGGCTACTCAGTCTTTAAACACTTCAAGTGTTTTCTTTCAGTACCAGAACCAAATCAATAAGAAACCACTCAAAACACAAAACCACTACTTCAGAAGTCTTTTAGACTTACACCTATAAACATGTAAGCACACACATATATACATGCATGTCTGTGAGTGTGTAAATTATGTATTATCTAACACTTAAATTTGGAGGTAAAAGAGTTTCTGGTTAAAATATTGCAGACTGTGTTGCTCAGTTAGATTTTAGGATTGTCTTACCGTAATTAATTTTTAAAATAAAAGTCTGAGATATTTTATAAAATATTATACATTTCAAAGTATCCTTTTACCTAGATTATTACATTGTGAGCATTTCTGTATGAACCACTGCTTAACTCATTTGAGGTTGAAATTTGGCATGCTGACTTATATAAGAAATAGAGCTAGAACTGCGGGCCCAATAGAAAAAGAATTGGCTACGAGATGAATGTCTTCCTTGGATTTGACAGAAAAAAGTTATGACGTTAGTATAATTTATGTTTTTCCTCTTTAAACTATTTTCAATGTTATTTTTATTCATAGGGAGCTCCTGTGGTATGGAGTTGTACTGCCAACCCAAAGGCATGTGGTTCAAATCCACCAGCTTTTCTGTGGGAGAAAGATAAGCATGTGATTTACTGCCTCTGAAAATGTGATGAAGAGTTAGCTATGAGTCAGTTTCAATTCCATGGCTTCTAACCACAACTTTTATGTTGATAATTTTCAATCTTCCCGATTTGTGACAACATAAAGATAGCATACCTTTTTCATTTTGATCTTAATTAAACGGAGTTCCAGTGGCATAGTCTCTAGGGAGTTGCATTGCCAACTGAAAGGCCAATCTTCTCTGGTAGGTCGAACCCCCAGCAGCTCCAAAGAGAAAGAGAGAGAGTCTTCTCCAGAGCAATTTATAGCCTTGGAATCCTGGCTGGAGGTTCTGATTCAATGGCAGTGAGAGTTTGAGTTGTTTGAAGAGATGTGTAACATTATAGTAAGCAATAAAAATATCAGTAAACAGGTAACATTAAGAAGAATGAGAATCTCAGAACACTTAATTGTGCTCATGTGAAACCTATACACAGATAAAGAAATAGTTATTTTGTCAAAATAAGGAAAAATTTTGTGTCTTTTCTCTATATTTGTTTAATCTTTATACTGAGCAAATAATTTGAGAAACTGGACTCTATGAAGAATATGGCATCAGGTCTGAGGGAAGACTCATCAACATCGTACAATATGCAGATGACAGAACCTTGCCAAACAATTGGAACAGATCTGCATTTGGTTCCATTCCAAAGAAAGGAGTCTCAAGAGAGTGTAAACTTTAAAGAACAGTGTTATTACTAACACTCACAAAGATAATCTTGTGAAGATAATGATAAAATGACTAGAGAAGTACATAAACAGAGAAGTGCCAGCAATTCAGGCGAGATTCAGAAGATAGTGTGGAATGGAGGATATCATTGCTGGTTTCAGATGGGTCTTGGCTGAAAGCACTTAATATCAAAATAATATTTCCTGTATTATAGACTCTGCAAAAGCATCCTATTGTGTGGATCATAACAAATTATGCATAATATTGTGATGAATGAAAATTCCAGCAAACTTAATTATGCTCATGCAGAACCTCTACATAGACAAAGAAATCATTTGAACAGAAGAGAAAATGGCCTAGTTGATAATCAGAAATTATGTGGTTAAGGATTGTATCCTTTCACCATATCTATTTAGTCTCTATGCTTTTATTCTGTCTGGAAGGAAAAAAAAAATTTGAGAAGCCCAAGTGTATGAAGAAAGTGGCATCAGGATTGGAGGAAGACTCATTAACAGCTTCTGGATATACAGATGACACAACCTTGTTTATAGAAAGTAAAGATGACTTGAAGTACTTACTGAAGATCAAAGTCTATAACTTTACTGTGGTTTATACCTCAACATCAGGCATCAGGAAAATATAAATCCTCACCACTGGACCAACTGGCCACATCATGATGGGTAGAGAAAAGGTTGAAGTTGGCTATGATTTCATTCTACAATCACACCCATGGAAGCAGCAATCAAGTAATTAAATGGTACATTGCAAGAAGCAAATGTGCATGAAAGGGCCTCTATAAAGTGCTAAAGAGCAAGGCTTTCACTTTAAAGACTAAGTTACATACGGGATAAGCCATGATAGTCTCATTTGCCTCATAATCATGTGAAAGACCTCTAAGAAAGACCAAAGAAGAATTGGTGAGTTGGATTGTAATGTTAGTAAAGAATACTGAGTATACCAATGGACTATCAGTAAAATAAGCAAACACATATTGAAGAAGGTATATATCCAGAAGGCTTCTTAGAAGCAAGAACGATACACCTTTGTCTCACATATGCAAACATGTTATCAGGAGTGGCCAACCCCTGAGCAAACACATTCAACCTTGGTAAAGTAGTAAGTCAGGGAAAAAGAGGAAGACTCTCAATGAGATTGACACAGTGATTAAAAATGGGCTTAAGCACAGCAGAGATTTCGAGGATGGTGCAGCAAGAGGCAGGCTTTCATTCTGTAGTGTATGCGGCCACTGTTAGTCAGGGCCAACTCAGCCACACCTAGCAGAAGCAATCAGCACTGTTTGAGAGTGCCGATACTCTCCATCTCGAGCAATGCTTGATTTTGCCAGTTTTTTCAATGTTAGCTGTTTAAATGGTTTTGAACTGTGATTTCATTGTGGCTTTAAGCCACTTTATTTTTTTAAGTTGACTAATTAAAGACAAAAGTGACAAAGATATTTTGGGTATGTAGTTAGGAGAGGCTGTTCCTTAGAAAAGGACATCATGGTCAGAAAGGTGGAGGGCAAGTGAACAAGAGGTAACACCCCCAACAAGATGGATTGACACAGTGACTGCAGCAATGGGCTCAAGAACGCCTTTCCAGTGATTTAAAAACTGGATGTGCTTCCATTGAACGTGACTGCGATGGAGAATATGTTTTGTGGAGGGATACTGTTGTTTTGAAGTGAGGATAAATGTACATAAAACTGAAGGATAAGCATGAGTTGTTCCTGGGTGGCACACTTGTATGCCACGGTCTGCCAGTGTTTATCTGTCCTTGTGACTACTACACTATTTTGAAAACTTTTATTTAAGATTTTGGGCTATCCTTGCATTCTCGACGATTGTTATATGACCTAATTTTCCTTCTAATGAATTGAAGGGTTTTGCTTTTCTATAGCAAACCTTGATTCCTAAACTCTTTGATATAGTGAGTTATTTGACAAATGAGGCATTTTATTTCTTCACTACAAACAGGTTTTGCTGAGAATATATCATATCTTGGCTCTTATCTGATGGTTATTTATACTTACTGCCTTTCACCTTCTTGCTACTGTATTTTCCCCCACAAAGTACTATTTTAGTTACATTTTTCTCCTCCTTCATTTCATGTCAATGCTACCAAGTTAAGGGCTTAAGAAATTGTGTTTTCAATACCGAAGCTTAGATTTCGGGGATTGGAGCGGCTCAGTTTTCTGTTACTGTGAGCTTGGCTGGGTGTGTAGGGACTATGGATTGTGTGAGCCTCCTAATAGAATCATTGTAGATGTTTTATAGGGATTTGAGCTCTGTCTGTGTAGGCTGCCTTTCTTGACACACTCTGCCTGTACCTCCAGGTAAGTTCAAGTCCTTGAAGACATTCTGAGAAAGGGATTTAGAAGTGACGAAGTTCATTAACACAGGTTTAACATGAACTAGAACAACCTGTATAACAGCATTAAGATGTAATGACCAGTTTTATGCTTTCTACAAAAGAACACTGTTACTCTATTTACATTGGCATAGAAAAAGGGATGCTATCTTACCATTTATGTCTCTTTATACATACTCTGTGAGAAGAATGATTAATATATAAGACAATATTAAAAATAAAAAGATGCTGAAAATACTTGTTTTTTTTACCTATTTATATCAGTGAGTTTTAAAAGCCATTTCCTTTCTGTACAAATTTTTAAAATAACTTGAAAGATTTAATTATAGGATCCTCTCTAATTCACTATTCAGGAATTATATGTAGAATGCTAAGAAATTTTTAAGGCTTAAAAGACCAA